CATACATATCCATATTCTTGTTGTTGTCACTTATTATTGTTACTCTAAATGTCCTCTTTGATATAAAGTCCTTAACTAGGATTTTTCAAGTTAATAATACCATGCTTCATTAATGCAAATGCACTCATAGATTTCATTATCACGTTTTCATGATCTAACAACTATTTACTCAGAAATAAGTATATCTATATTAAATGTTTAAAATGATTTAAAATAATTTCACAATAATTCACAACAAGGGCTCAGCTCCTATCGCACCCAATAAATGTTTTCGAGTCAACGATTTATTTTATTGTATTTATGTGGTATTTTTCAAAAGCGAACTTTAATACACGTGATAATCAGTTTCAAAGAACGTTCCTTTTTATTTTTGGCAAACTTTCCTATTTGTACTTAATATAAACTCATTTTAAATCACAATGTGTCAAAACTATAAAGCCAAAGCGTAAAATAAGTTTAATTTTGTTAAACATATTCACTCATTTATTAAAAAATAAATATTGATTATTAAAAATGTTGTACCTCATTTTATAAAATGAAATTGCTACAATAACCTTTCGGACACAAAGAAAATGTTTAATTGTTATTTCCGTAGTCCGTAATTTCATTTTGTAAACTAGTTTAATGAATGAATGAAACACGCCCACTTGGCACCGTCCGCCAGTTTTGGAAGGGATGGATATTGGGATACGAATAGGATGACAATTGCCGGGTGTTATTTTTTATTTTGGCCCCTCATTGGGACTCCTTCGAGTTCCTCAAGAAAAGGTAAGGTGACTTCTGCATATCGATGCTGCTGGCAAACAGCTGACTCTTACCTTTTGCCCCTACTGCTTGCCTCACCTGTCTGTGGTTTGTGGCAGGTGCCAAAACAAAACCGCAAAATATTGTTTCTTTTCTGCTCGTCTGGCTGCTGGCGGTTGGCGTACCTTTTACCTGGTTTTTTACCTGTTGGCCAGCAGTTGAGCGCAATTTAATTGAATTTTATTTCAGTTTCTCGAGCGGCATTAGGGTAACGCCCCTTACCGCCTGTTCTTCCTTTTCTTTTTATTTTTCTTTGTCCTTTTCGTCTGACTGTGTGTTTCCTTATCTCTTTGCAAGCAATTTCAATATTTTCGCTGGGGCCTCCATCCTTCTCACCTGCTGTTTCTGTTTCTCCTCCGTTTTCAGCTGTTAATTCAAAGTAAATTATGTATTTAGCATAATTACAATATTTGACTTTTACTCTTGACTGCACGCCATACACGAAGAAGAAGAGACTCGAAAAGTGCAGAAGAAACTGGGGCCCTGTCTTCGTCTTCAGCTGCCCGTTTCTGCCGCCTTCTCGAGGGCTCTTCCTTCTTCCGTGTACAAATTTATATTTATTTTTTTTTTGTTAAGAATTTGTCTGCCGGACAGCAAACTGACACTGGTGGTTTGTCTGTTTGGGACGCTTTTCCTTTAGCTTTTTAATCTTAATCCCGACTTATCGCACCCGGTGGATTTCCGGTGGAAAGAAATGAAAGAAAGAAAAGAAAATTCAGCTCACTGTGTGCATTCCTCATGATTAATGTTCAACTTTCGAGCTTAAGGTCTTAATCGATTTTTATCGTTGTCCACCTTTATATAGTACTCTTTGGCCTTGCCACATGTGGGTTAGCTTGCCTAATCACTAAATCGATTAATAATACAAAAGTGCTCTCTCTAAACAAATATTAGAGTTTTAAATTTTACCAAGTTACTTACTTTTTTTCCACATACTTAAAATCCTTATCGCAGTTTGTCACAATCTAAAAGTATTTATGTGAATTATTTCTCAGAAACACGTAATCTTATTCAATCCCGTATTGCTTTTATTTCAAAGCTGCTACATCTGGTTTATTTCACAAGAAATTGACTCATTCTCTATTTCATCATAGAAATATTCTGTACTAATAGAATAAATAAAAACGGCAAATCATCATTGAAAATTATTTCCAAAAAATTTGCTAAATGGTATTTTTTTTAAAAAAATGTCCCTAATATTTAGTTTTTTTTATAATAATATATTTTGAATCAGGATGAAATAGTCGAGGCTCCCAGTCATTCCTTAATAAATCTTCAAACTGCATAAAGCGGTTTTATCATTTTTTTCATCTTCCGATCCCTTTCACCCAAAAAAAGGAGAAAGTGGGATTTTTGTCGGGTATCTGATAAAGGATTAAATCGTTTTGGGGCTTTTTAATCCGATCGGCAGGTGCTGCTGCGGTGTGCATTTATTCGGGGCGTGGCACAAGTTGCGTGCATTTAATTACGCGTAATTATTCACTTAGTCTGTTATGCCAACAGCAGCGAAAAAAAAAGAAAAAATTAAAATGCAACAGCAACAGCAACAAAGATGACGATGATGACGTTCGTGGCCCTTAATTGCAAGCGTTTCCCGCTAATTACCCGAACCGCGATCCAAAAGAAAGACAAGGGGTGCCGGTAAAATGCGGTGGAAAATCTAGAAATGACGTTGGACCTGCGATTTCGGGATTGGGAGTTGTAAAAGGTGTCTTACATGTGTTTGCCGCCCCAGAGTTTTGCTTTTATCACATTTTCTTGCAATTCTCACGTGATTCATAAGCGGAGCGATTAGCGTTTACAAAGTGACGTTTGCCAGAAGGAGAAAAATAATTAGATCTAAATAACTAGCAAACATTTTAGATTAATTATTTTTTGATTAGACAAATTAAAATAAGCCTCTCGCCGAAACTTAATCGATAGATTACGGACTAGGATTTAGACAGAAATCCAGTTGTTCTTTTTCATATGCGATAACCATTCTCTTTTGACCCGCATAGTTGGACATGGAATCTAGGCATTCACTAAGCTCCAATGATCCAGAAGATGCTGAAATCGATGCCAGCGAAAGCCTTTCTTTCGGCTTACCGGCTTTCTATTGCTTCTCAACCAAAAGACATAACTCACCTTCGTTTATTGACAGAAAATAGATTAATTTTCAAGAGAGAAGGATCTACTGAAAATACAATCTATTTAAAACATGTATTCATGGAAAAAGAAAACCCAGCGCTGCCAAGACGACAAGATTCTAATTTTATTAAATTAGTAATCACTTGGAAGAACTCAAAGTAAATATCATCTTCGTTTCAGGGGCCACACTCAATTTGATTAAATTTGCCGACTGAAAGGGGTTATGGAAAAGCGGCCATGAAATTATTTTCTATTGCTTTTGCTTCTTAACTTTCCGCCTTTGAATGCAGCCACCCACTCAGTCACTCCCACTTTTTTTTTTTACTTTTTTTTTATAATATTCGTCGTATGGGAAAAGCAAGTTGAAATGCTGATATACAGATATTAACAGCTAATTAAATTAATAAAATATCACTTGGCTGGTATACCATGGCTTTTTTAATATTAATTTTAAAATCGAAATAAAACTATGTGGAAAACTATGTATATTTACTCTTTCTAGTTAGGTTTGCTTTAAATTAAATTTTCAATTACAGTGGTCGTTAAAAAAGAAAAAACCCCGGTATCCAGTATTTCTAATCAGCTGTCAATAGGTGTACATATATATATATGTATTAGTGGAGAAGGGTATAGCCCCCCACTTGCCGTGTCCCTTTTCGTTTGTGTGTGGGTGTGTAGGTCAAGTGCAGGCGTTGACAAATTGTCGTCGTTGTTTGCGTGCTGTCTTGCACAATCCTGTTTGCATTTGACAGGCGATGGCATAAAATAACAATAATGATGACAGCACCTGGCCTGCACTCGAGCGCCATCTATCCTATTTCCCCACTCCCTTACAGTCTGCTACCTTTCAAACGGACATAGAAGAGGCACCCCTTTCCCCGCCTCCCTGCCTCTCAACTCATCAACATCACCTGTTGGCCAGTGCTGACATAATAACTTGTAAATATTTTAGAATTGCCATCTTCCCTGATTTATCGTTAAATCTATTCAGAAATCAATGAATTATTTAATTTTTATGAAAGCTAGAATTCAAAAATATAGAACTTTTTACTTTTATGGAAAAGTACAACTTTTCAATCACCATTTTTAATATTGTTTTGGGATTTCAAAATCAAATTAAATTAAATTTTAAAAACAAGATGTAAAATCATTAAACTTGTCATTTCACTTTACCGATTATTTTCTACTAATAGTAAACTTTTTTTGTTCCAATTAAAAAAAAAAATTCTCAAGTTCTGCGTAGTCTAGATGGTTTATACAGTAAAATAGCTAGATTGCCAGCTCTAGCCATTCTGCGTGACGTCAGCGCTCTACGTTGTTCTACGTGCTACGTGCCGAAGTCCCTGTCTCTCCCGCTCTGCCTGCGTCGCTGCCGGCGTCGCTTTTCACACGCTGCAACTTCGGAGGTTATTGTTATTGTTGCTGTTGGCTATTCGGTTTCGTTCGTCACTGGTCGTTTGGCTTTTTGGCTTGTAGGAAAAGAAGGTGCGCGAAATGATGTTAGACAATTGGGAATACGGATAGTGTGGGAAGCGGTTTTCCGTTGGTTGTTAATTTTTTTTCCACTTGGTATCTTAAAAACCTAGAGTAGTGTTTTTCTTGATATCTCCACAACACATTTCCAGAACCCTCTTCAAGCGTACAAAATAAACCAAATTTATCAATGAATGAATCGCGTAAAAATCAACAAATTTACTAAAAATTGAAAAAAAAAAAATAAAAAAAAAATATGTGACAGTTAAATAAAAAATAATGCCGGAAAATGGCTTTAAAATATATAAAAAATCATATGTAAAAAATGGACTATGAAATAATCAAATCGAAAATGTTGCCAACAGAAACTGCGAAGCTCGCGTTTAAAATATACTCTTTTCACCTGTGTCAAACTCAAAATTGCTAAGTTCTCACCAGCGGAAATCTCAAACTTCGCTCATAGAACAAGAAAACTTTCTTATCAATCATGATACTCAATGATAAAAAAACAATAGATTTTCAAAATATAAAAGCCAAAGTGAGTGTGTGTGTGTGTGCGAGTGCTTAATAGCAATTTATCTCTGTGATTGCAGCCCGTCAAATGAAAAATACGAGAAACATTGAATAATTAAAAGGGAAAAGAAAGAAAACGCCTTGGAAATAGTCGGCGCTAAAAACCAAGAGGAACCAAGCGAGGGAAACGTTTAGAACAAGAGTTGCCTTAACAATAGAACTTCCTTGTTGACTTACATATACATATATACAAATACATATACAGTGTACATATATACAAGAATATTATATACAAAATATCACGGAAACTAGAAGCATATAAGTCAAAAATATATACCAATATATATATTTTTTATACGAGAGAAAAAACAAAAAAAAAAAGGGAAAAAATCGAGGAATCGCAAATCGAAAATGCGCCTAAAAGAGACCACAAAAAAGTCGGCGCCATCAACCAACAACCAACATCATCATAACCAAAAGATCGCCGTACCGCTTTCCGGCGATCTACTGAGTACGCTGCACATTTCGCCGCCCCTTCACCCACATCATCATCATCAGTTGCCGCTCTCCGTGCAGCTGCAACACCAGTTGCAACAGCAGCAGCAACATCAGTTGCACCACCACCAGCAACGCTGCTCCAGCGTGGGCAGCACCAGCAGCAGCGGCACCTGCGAAACGGACCGCTCCGGATCCTGTTCGTCGGCCCTTTCGCCCGCCGGCGGTGGCATGATGCCCGGCCTGGGTGCGAGCGAAGGATTGGTTCCCGGAGGAGGAGGAGTCGGAGGAGGAGCAGCGATACCAGGTGCAGGAGGAGCTAGTAGTGCCAGTGGTGGTCAGGGACAGGGACAGGGACCCAACGACGAGGCCTCCGCTGCCGCTGTGCTGGCTGCCAATATCGCCGAGTCTTTCACGTTCCTGCAACAGCATGCGGCGCATCATTTTCGCGACATTTTGTATGCGGCCCACATGCTGGGAAGAGGTAAAGGAAAAGGAGTAACCGGTGGGTGGTGGTGGTGGGAAAAGGGGAGGGGAAAGGGGGGGATTATACGTTGCACGACCTGCTGCTGTGGGCAGCAAACTGGAGCCGCTCAACTGGTTTTGCTAGCTTTTTTTTTTCTTTCTTTTTTATTTATTTATTTTTTCGGCCAGGCCAACTTTCACTTTATGCATTGTTGCCGCACTTCACTTCTCGATTATTTTTTTTTTGGCTCGAATTGCACTTGCCGTCCCGCTCAGTGAAAAGCTCCCCTAGTTGGCACCCCAATTGGCTGCGATTTCCTAGTTTTAGGCCTTTTTTTTATCCAAAATTGGAATAACGAAAATATTGTTTTCAATAGCGAGGAAAATAATTGATTTGGGATACAAATTACAGGTGTTCCAGTTACAGTTATTCTAAAAAAATTAAATATACCAGAACCTAAGAAAATTTAATTATTAAAATATATATAATTATAAATAAAATACTATCTATACTGTTTGGTACTATAAGTACCATTTTTGGTCTGGCCTAGGTTAATATATCTATTTAATTTATTGTTTATTCAACCCAAGAAGTTATTATATAAGGATTATAACTTATATTTTATAATTCGTACTTAATTATAATATTTAAAAAATGAAATGTGTGGCATATAAGCATGGTCTGTTCTCATACTTGTATAAATAATAACTTCATCACAATCCGAATTCATAAGATATAAGTATATATAAATATTAAAAATTATATTGACTAACGCTCCACTCATTTTTCTCTCCATTTCAGGCTATTATCAGCCGGCTGGACCGCTGATCTCGCCACATGTGATCGCCGCCCCGCCGCCGCAGGCGCAGGTGAAGAAGCTTCAGGAGGAGGACAGCGCGGCACCAGTTGCCGGTTCGCCGACACAGTTGCAGCAACATCAGGCGGCCGCCGAAGCCGCCGACCAGGCGGCAGCAGCCCAGTCTCATTCTCATTCTCAGTCGCAAGCCAACCCAACCCACGGTCACGCCCACGCGCACGGCCACGCCCACAATCCGCAACAGGCGCAGCATCCGCCGCAGCCACAGCCGTATCCGGCCAGCGCCGTGGCGGCCGCAGCCGCTGCAGCCGCCGCCCACCAGGGCGTGCCCTATTCCCGCTCGATGCACGCGGCCCAGATGCACTACTCGACCGCCTATCCGCCCAACTATTACGCGCCATATCCGGGCGAGGTCATGTGCTACTCGCCGCCCACCTACCAGCCGTACTTCTCGAGCAAGGTCTACCAGCCATCGCATCCCGGCCATCCTGCCGCCCATCCGCAAGGACCGCCGCCGCCGGGCGCCTATCGCCGTTATCCCTACTATCAGCACGCGGGTCCGCCGCCGCCGCACGAGCTCTACGAACAGCAGCAGCCGCCCCCGCCGCCCGTCTCTGTCTCAACCGGATCGCAACAGCAGCAGCAGCCGCCGACCAGCAGTTCAGGAGGAGCAGCAGGAGCAGGAGCGGCAGGAGCAGGAGCAGCTGGAGCGGGAGCACCCGCCGGCAGCCAATTGGTGCCGGCACACCAGCAACAGCACCAGCAGCAGCACTTGGAGCACTACCCGGGGCCACCCAGCTACTACGCCGGCTACAGTCCCGGCGGAGGAGCCTCCTCCGGCCAGTGCTACACCCGCGGCCTGCAAGGACCGTATATGGGTAAGGAAAAGTATGGTCCAGTCCCGGATGCATTTCGAGCCACTGCGAGGAGTTGCCAACTTAGCTAGCCAGGATTAGCCAACGTCGATGGGTCTGCAGCAAAGTGATATCAGTTTAGGGATTGAATTTATAATGAACAAGAGAGTACTTAGACTATCCGATACCCTTTACTCAACTTAACTTTAATGGATTGTTCGATTGTATAAATAGTTCTATAGTAAACATTTTTAAAATCTGTTTAAACGGATTATTAATAATGCGTATTTAAATTCATAAATTAATTATACAAGTTACAAATATTTAAACTAAAAAAGATTTAAGAGCAGAATAATCTGTAACTGGTAAAAAAAAAACTCTTTCTGAAAAAGGGATTAGTTTAATTAACTAGAAAAAATGAATAATATTTCATGAAAAGATCCTTGAGTTAGTATGTAAAAATCCGTCTTGCATTCTATAAATTAAGATATGTAAACTTTAGATTTGATATTTTTTTTTTAATCATTTTAAAGTAAAGCTCATCTACTTGTGCTGTTCGATTCAGATACTTTGAAGAGATTGTTAGTTGGCAACACTTGTTAATAATCCTACATTTTTTAACTCCAACTCTATTTTGATATTTGCAGAGTATCCACCGCAGTGTCCCTGCCCAATGCCTCAATCGTGTCCAAAAAACGTCCATACTGGGCCTCATATTGGTAGCAACATAATCAGCAACATCGACCAGAGCGGCAGCAAGAACAGCAGCAGCAGCAGCAGCGGCAGCAGCAGCAGTTGCAGCAGCAACATGTTGCTGAGTGCCACGAGCAGCAGCAACAGCAGCACCTTGACTGCCTGCAGCAACGCTACGACAACAACTACAGCGTCAGCGTTGACTACCAGTAGAGGCCCAGTGAAAAATGTGACCCCCAACAACAGCGACAGTAGCAGCAACACCAGCAACAGTTGCAACAAGAACAGCAGCAGCAGCCAGACAAGTGAGACAACCTCACGGGCGACGGCGGCAACAAACACGACAAATACGACGGCAACCACCGCCACAACGGGCACCCAGTGCCAGATGCTCGTGAAGACGGAGCTCAAGGGCGAGAATCCCAATCCCAATCCCAATCCCCAGGTGACCAAGATGCAGTACGAGGCCCATGTGATGCCGCCGCCCACTCCGCCGGAGAGCTACTGTGCCAGCGACGAGAAGCTGCTCGACGATCAGGAGCAGGAAGCCGAGTTGGAGCTTCGATTGCGTCTGGGATTGCGCATGGAGAAGGGTCACGGTGGGCAGCAGCAGCAGCAGCAGCACATCGAGGCGTACGATCTCACCTGCAGCACCCCGCCCCCAGTGAATTCAGCACCTCAGGCGGCGGCGGCGGCGGCAGCAGCTGTGCCGCGCAAGGCGAGGATCGGCAAGAGCATGGCCAGGGAGATGGTCTATGCCGCCCAGCAGCAGTTGAAGCAGCCGAAGGAAGGAGCTTCGGCTAAGATGGAACCAGCGGAACCAGAGATGCCTTTCGTACTTAAAGCCGAAATCAAAGCAGAGACCAAAATCAAAATCGAGCACGACGGTGAGGCGCAGGTCGGCAGCACACATATCAGCGATTTGCCGGACCTCAAGCCCACCATCAAAACGGAGCCAGAGCAGGAACAGGAACAGGAGCAGGAACAGCAGCCGGATGCGGGAGTAGTAACAGCTGTGGCCAAAACGGAACCGGAGCAACAGGATCAGGATCAAGAACAACCTACGCCCGGTGGCAGCAAGCAGCGCATCAATTTGCTGGCCTCCTCCGGCGGCAACAAGAAGACCAAGACGAATCACAGCTACAAGAGCCTGATCAAGCAGGCAGAGCCCAAGAACTACCTGTGTCCCGGTCGTCGGTTCATCCGTCGGCACGGCCGTGCTCCGGCCAAATATGCCAAGCGGCGTCAGATGATCCTCACGCAGCGACAGCAGCAGCGGATGCGCCTGCAACGTCGCGAGCAGCAGCAGCAGCGACGGCAGCAACGCGAGGCGGCAGCAGCGGCAGTGGTGTCCTCTCCTTTAGGAGAACCTGCAAAGGAGACAGGAGCAGAACCTCCCAGCGTTACAGAGCAGGGAGCCACTCCCACCGCCTCGCCAAAGAGGGCGCGGCCACGGAAGCAGGAGATTGCCGCACTGCATCTGCTCGAAGGCCTGGACACGACGCTCAGTCGTGGCTACTTCAGTGACCCGGAGCTCAATCACAGCAGTCGCAAGCAGGCGCCGACGGCAGTGGGCGGCCTCTATGCCGCCTCCTCGCCGCTAGCACCAGCCACTGATCACCGGGGCAAGCAGCCCGCGGCCGAGAAGCGCTCCAAGTCGGAGACCAAGAAGCCAGCGGTTGGAGAGATCTCGGATTCAGCCTTGCCATGTAAAAAGCCCCGCAAACAGACCGCTGGAAAAGCCAAGGGCAAGAGCAAGAAGTCAACGGGAGGAGGAGCAGCCGCGACAGTTGCATCCTCCACTGCCGAAATGCAGTCGGCAGCGGTGTCATCAGGAGCCAGTGGATCCAGCCAGGAGACGAACAACAACGAGTATCAGACGGCAGATCTGCAGGCTCAGAAGTTCCGTGAGTCAACGGCTGAAACAGAAGCAACGGGAACATCAGCCAACCAGCAGCAACATTCCGATGAGCAACACCAGTTTCTGGTGCCCAATCAACCTGCAGTGGGAGCAACTGCCGTTGCACCAACTCCCCCTCCTCCTTCGACGACTCCCAGCCGTCAGAATCAGACGACGCACACGAAGCGGGCCAGATCGCGTTGCAAGTTCGGCAATCGGAAGCGCCAACGGCAGCGACCCGGGGGCGTGAGCTACGAACTGGACGTCACCCAGCCGCCGGCAACTAAGGCCAATGTGGTGCCCAAGTGGAACAACGGTTGGATGTGGGCGGGCACCGCCTTCCAGGGCGCCGTCTTTCTCAATGTGAGTGGAAAATAATATTTTAATAATATTTTTTTTAATTTTGTGATAAAGCCAACCGTGCAAATTGTATAACTATATTTTTTTAAAATTTGTTTTACCCACAAAATCGCCATAAATTATTATTATAAACTCAAAAAATAACAGTTATTCTTTGAGTTTTACTTAAAATGTGATTTTTAACATAAAACTCATAACAGTTACGATTGTTGGGAAATATACAGTAAATTAAATCCTTATACTTAAATAAATTTTATTCTGTCTTCTGTAGAGCGATGATCCGCTGGTGCTGCGCACCTGCTACCCGGCCATGCGGCACGTGGAGGGCGACATCATCCGCATCAGGGACTGTGTGCTGCTCAAGGCCAACGAGGACAACGAATTGCCCTACGTGGCCAAGGTGGCGCATCTCTGGCAGAATCCCGAGGATGGTGAGTAGTCTATAGAGATTCCTATTAGACTGTAAATTATTAAATTCGCTCATCCCCACAGGCGAGATGATGATGTCGCTGCTGTGGTATTACAGGCCCGAGCACACTGATCAGGGAAGGCAGCGCAACGATTGTCCCGACGAGGTGTACGCCTCCCGGCACCGCGATCACAACTCGGTGGCCTGCGTCGAGGACAAGTGCTATGTGCTCACCTTCAGCGAGTATTGCAGGTGAGTCGAGGGAATAACCGTCTACCGGATTTTTAGTGACATTTTAATGTATTTCAAGGTATCGTCGCCGCCTGCGTGCCGCCGAGGAGGATGTGGAGGACGTGAGCATTGTGCCCCGTCGACCGAGCAGTGCCATCGCCACCGGATTCCCAGTGCGCACGGTGCCGGAGCATACGAATCCGGAGCTGGTGATGTTCTGCCGTCGGGCCTACGAGTTCCGGACGCGTCGCCTGCTCAAGCTGCCCCAGAAGAACGGGCTCGTTTGCAGCTCCAGCTAGCGCAAGGCATTGAACTGTGGAGTGTAGGAACATTAGCTTAAATTCAGATTGCAGTGCGGTGCAATTGGAGCAGCGATGAGATGAGTTGAGGAGAAAGCCCTGGCAGAGAATAAGAAAAGGCGTAGGAAGAAAGTTAAATTGTTTTGATCAGTCTACAGTATTGTTAAAGATATTTTTTGTCTTTGTTGTTGAGAGAGATATCTGTAAGGAGGAAAAGAAGGAAGGAAAAAGGGGGCTGTGCCAGTGCATTCGTTGTTCCTAACCAAATTTCGATTGCTCTCGTTGCGCCCGTCGTTCGATGTTTCCTGACCCAAGCGCACACACATACACTACCTCTGTCGGGGCAGGATAAGAGAGACACTGGAGACACACGTCTACACACAGATGACACACACCAGAACCAGACCAAAATGTAGGCGAAGGCTTTTCACTTGGATGTGGAAATTTCGAGAGATGCGAGGAATGAGGAAGGAGATTGTGGGGAAGCTAGGAGAACTGCTAGGAGAAAGCATTAAATATTTTACATTGTATTACATAAATTATTTATTCTGACTATACCAACCCACACACACAACCACATATGGATATTTTTGTTATTAAGTTGTATGTATTTATTATCATTAATATCGAGTTAGTCAACATTCTGTGTACAGTTTTCCGCTCGCTTTTGCTCTTGTCGCTGGAGAAATTCTCGGAACCCCCGTAACTAAATGTTTCTTATGTAGACTGTTACTAAAATGTAATTGTGGGTGCCGCCGAAATTTATCCGAACTGACATGCAAACATTTTCTGAAACTAGTACTTAGCCTGGTGCAAAAATTTAGTTATGTGGTATTTTAAATTAGCCATCTACATAAAACATTGGGTACAAACCAACTCTGAATCGCCAAATTATGTCTACCGACTTTAAATTCTAATTATGTCCGATACAATATTTTTATCTCCACTAAACTTACAACCAGTTTAAGAATATTTTGGAATCGGAATTTAATTACAAATTTATCTACGAGGATATCTTGAGCTATAGGTTTCTCTTCTCGTTTCATATATACTCAAAATTAAAGAAAATCCCAACCCATTTAGTCTATAAACTCAGTTATATGTAAAACCATGCTAAACCTATCGATGCTCAGGCAAAAACTTTGCGCACAGACAGACCAACTTAACTATTTAACACTTCGAAATGAGATTTCTGGCTCCAGAGGCGGAAAACTGGAAGACTTTACATCGATTTTTGCAGGCGCTGTTGGTATATTTTTTTAGTTGTTGTTAGTTTTTGTAAGCGAAGGAAAAAACATTTTGTACTCCTAATTTGACAATTATTTTTTTTGTTTTCGTTTTATTTTGGAAATTTGATTTCAGAGTTACGATTTTCTGTTTACTTTATATTATTCAGCTGAAAACAGTTAAAAAGAATCTTTAGGGAAGGAACAACAGAAACAACAACAAGTCACATTATATTATATTATATAATATATATATATTATATATATACGTAGTTCTATATATAAACAAATATCCTTATCAATATAAATATTTTTTTTTCGTAATCTTAATTTAATTTAGTTGTAGCGTTTTTAGTTACTAAGTTGATATTGCTAATAGTTTGTTTTATACCAAATACACAAAAAAAAGAACATTAAGCGATTCTAAGAAAAACCTATTTATGCACACCCAAACACACATACATACATCTATGCACAAGTGTATAGTTTTATATATATGAATATATATGAATTATATGTATTATTTTTTTAAACCAATTACCTGTTCTTTTTTTATTTTTTAATGTGACTTGAGGACGGGCAGAGTTATTTTCGGGGCCTACTTTCGGGCTGTACTTTCCAGATATCCCGGATGCGTGGGCGTGGGCGGTTAGGTGTAGGCTAGTAGGCGTGGCAATGTGTAGAGCTATGGATAAAGCAACGTAGGACAAGAGATGCTGTCGACGCTTTGGAATAGAATGTGCAAAAGATAGAAATCGTATATAAATACACACATATATAGGGAGCATAGCCAGACATATGATACAAGTATACAAAAACAGGAACTCACAACTTACACAACAACACTCACACGCACACGTACACACAAGGATAATACGATCCATTAATACATATGTATACCTAGTGAAGCAGGACGATGAAAGAATTCAATTAGTGAAAAATCAACAAGCAACCACAAATTGTAGCCTAAATTACCAAAACAAACAAACAAACAAACAATATATTTGTATGCCATATATATGATATATATATATATACACAATACATATACATTTACATACACATATACATATACATAATATATATAGATATCTATATATATACTGGAGCCTTGTTCCTGCTGGGCCAATACAAGGAAGGACTCATATATATTTCTATAGGCAAATTGAAGGAACCACAGGAAGCAACCACAACCGAAACCGAAAGCAATTCAAACCAGTTTGTATTATAGATGGGGAGACGTCGCAAAAAATAAGTATGGCGTTCTTCACAGCAGAGTACAGTCAACCCACACTAACAGAAACACACGAACACACACACTAATGCCTCTGGATACAAGTTAAATGATTAACATGTTTTTTCGCTGGTTTCTGTTGGATTAATGAAAAGCCAATGTGGATCCCCTATTGTATTTTGTAGAGAAATCTAAAACTAAAACAAAAAACCAAAACTGAAAACAAAACTCGTTTGAAAATCATTTCATTCCAATCTGGTCGAAGTCCTTCGACTCGATAATTTCCATATAGTTGTTAGTTACACATACTGTACTGTCTGTAAGCCTACAGTCTGATCTTTTTCTTCAATGTTTGCTTTAAGAAATACATTTTGAATAAAATTGTAACGTAAAACTGAAAATCCACAACACAACAAATGAGAAAATGAAAAATGAAACTTAACCAGAGCAAGAACAAAATAAGTAAGAAAAAAACCAGGAAGAACAAGAACAAAACAAGATCAATAAAACAAATCCAATATAATTATTGTTTATTACTAGACTAATAAATGTATTTTTTGGCAGATTAAACCAAGTCTTTATCAATTAGTTTGGGTTACGTATCACCGTCCTTCGGGGCTCTATTACCGACTGAGGTATTGCCCTAGTGTTACCTTCGATCGAGTCTAACCAAATCAAGTTCACACGCCGCGGTAATGAAAATAAATAAACAAGTGTTGATAATTGTAGTTGGCTTCTACATTAAAAAAATCATGCACAGTGAATAGAGCTTGAAATTTATCGATATTTTCGATATTTTGACCATATTGATTCGATAATTTCGATGTTTTAAAAGGAAAGCCTTTTCGCACATATTTGTTGGTTGCCATAATAGTGTAAACTTTAATTATTTAACTACAAAGTTTCGAGAGATTTTCCAACTTTAGAAATTTACCCTGTTTCCTATAAAGGTATTTCAATAAAGTAATATTTTTTTTTATTTTTTTATTTCTTTAATTGTTAAGATGGTGGTTACTCATGGTGGATTAAGTACAGTAAACGTTTCACCACTTATGTACATATGTCTAGGGTATTCCCTTTCCAAACTCCCGACACATCACGCCCACATTAAAACGACGGGTTTGATAATCATCGCCAGCACGTAGGACTGAGAACTGAAATCAAAAGTGATCACACTTTGACATTGAAATACAAAGTCTTTCGGTTGGGCAATTAAGTTAATCGCCGGGTAAATTGGTTCCCTTGGATGTGCATAGAAGAAAGTCAGATCTACTTATGTATGTATGTTTTTGCTAATTGGTGGCTACATGTGCATGTCTCAATTATCTGGCTCGCATTTACATGCAAACATATGTATTTCGAGCAGTTTATCTGGTATCTTTGGGGTGCCTATGAGATCATGGGGACCCGAGATGTGACTCAGTTAATTTGGCCCAAAAGCTTTATCAACAGGTGTCAGCCCCTGCGATTCCATACTTGTTTATCGCCTTTGTTTTCGTTTCGTTTCGATTTCGTTTCTTGTGTGCTTTTGCCTGCCGCTTGCCTTCCGGTGGGAGGGGGAGGTTAATTACATGGGCGTTGCTCGCCTAAATATATCAATTGTGTGGGCGTGCCCCAAGAAGATGACGTACTCGATCTGCTAACTCAACTTGTTTATTGTTAGTCACTAAAACTGCGCAGCTGCGTGCGAAACAATAATTTGTGTATTTCACGAGCTCAGATGCACACAAATTTCATGTAAATTAACTTATATGTTGGTGATACTTCCAGAAGGTCTCTTTGTAATATTCTAAAAGTCTATACTTAGGTATTCAAATTTTGCATTTTTTACCATTTAAGAAAATTAGTAAATCAGTTTCGATTTTGGCCAACAGGAATTTGCACAACAAATTTACAATGAACAAGTTCTTGACCTTGGCATTGGTATCTGAAAAAAACAAAATTGTATTTCAGATGATTATAAAAATCTTCATACCCATATTTACCATCTTTAATTGTAAAAATCGAATATTTCCTTTGGTGTATCAATTATTTTAACGATATGATACTCTCCATTCTGCTTTCGGATTAGTCCTCTCTCCACAAAATAGTCCATGATTTCATCCACTTTATCCACTAGTTTTATGACTCTGGTTCTGGTGGCCGTGCTCAAAGTACGCAGGATCACTTCTTTGGAGGCGGAACCACCCATGGCATCAATGGAATCCATCACAAGTCGCGCCATCGTTCTATCACTTGACAACATATTTCCAGTTATAAAAAAAACTACGTACAATTTTGGGAGAAAAATATTTTAAATTGAGACGTCCAAACACAACCGAAGTGGGGTATAAAATAGTGAAGTTTTATTTCAGTTGTCAAAGGCCACTTGGAATACGGAAAAATCTAAAACGGTTGGTACATTTCTTCTTTACTTTATTTTTGTTTAAATCTTGGTTCTTGAAAACTAAATGGACAGATTGGTTTTATATATAGTTATAATAACCAAAAGTAAATGATATTAAAAAACATAAACAAATCAGAAACGAAAAGAGTTGTTTTCGCTTGAGTGAAGCCAAATTTACAAAGAACAGATTTTAATAAATTTTTCGACACGTCAACAAATATAAACATATCTATACATTAGAAGTGCTTTTTGCTCCACACTTTAAAGATGTAAACAATTTTGTGCAAGCTTTGGTTTTTAGCTATACTTAATTGCAGCATTTAATGGGGTGAGAATTCGATAGGAATTAGAAAAAACAAAGAAAATAAAGCATTGTCTTGATCTTCAGTTTTTGTATTTAATGAAAAATTTACATAATAAAAAAAGTAACATAAATTAGGCTTAGAAACTATGTAAAAAAAAAAGAACCGATCAACACAATAAACACCGCATTACAGTCTCATGGTGGCCAGCGTAAATCCCAGTGCCGCCAGGGTCAAGGTCGCGCCCACTGGGCTGCTAATGACCGCTGCCCCGCTCTGATAGCCGTAGGAGCCCGGATAGTTGGGATCCGGCCGTCCGCCCACGTAGCCCGGCTGTCCCAGCTGTCCTGGCTGACCGGCCTGGTTGCCGTAGGAGAAGGGGCGACCATGCTCGTCTGTGCCGCTCACGTAGTAGCCACCATTGCCGCCCGCTCCGCCGTAGGAGCCCCGCGAATCGATGCCGGCATAGCCGTAGCTGTACTGCGGATCCTGGCCACTCAGACTGCCCGGCGGATGCATTCCACCCGACTGGGCGTTCGAATAGGCGCCCACGCCAGCCGCATTCCCGTTATTCCAGTGCACCGTTCCGGCCTGAGCGTCCACTGGAAGAAAATATATAATAAAATTAGTAAATTTTTCGGTAAAGGATAATTCCCCTTTTGTATAGCCACATTTTTTAATGGTTTGGTTACATAACTATAAAAAAAAGTTTGCTACTGTTCAAAATAATCTTAACTTTGGTTACTATTCTTTAGTAAAACTACTAAAAAAATGTGAGCGTAACTTTTTGATCTGTCAAATTTACAATAATATGTTCTGGATACGGTTTAAATTTATTTAAAGTAAATTTTAACAATTTGTGTGCTACTTCTTTTCACAAAACAATGAGCTAAATCTGCATACTTTAAATAATTTGGAAAAAACCATGACTAATAAATTCGCCGAAAAACTAATTGCAAACCCCATCTGCTATCAACGAATCACACATACGTACATTAGAAATATAACATACAAATATTACTTCGAAAATTAGAATTTTTCGGTTTCCCAGCAGTAACATTTAAGTACCCGCACAATTGGGTCATGTGAATCCACGTTCATTCATTAAATAAACAAAAACTTTTAACTTAAAAAAATATTCTTGCAATATTTGTTAAATTGCTTTATTGGAGACCGGTTCCGTTTTTTGTATCGCAATTAAGAGTGATATTCCAGTGTGTTGTTATCCATAAGTGTGATGTGTTTACTCGGAGCTCGCAGAGTACTAGAATCGTACTTAAGTGTAAGATTTAATCTTTCCATTCGAGCATTCCATCGTTTATCGAATTTTCACAATTTTGCAAAAATTTTCCCAGACTCACCCGCACTAAACTTGACAAGTGCCAGGCAGATCACAATGCTGCCGCTCAAGATCCGATTGAAATTCGACATGTTTACCGAATGCGCGCTTAACTCCAACTAAACCGCTAACAAAGTGCCGGCTACGGTTTTAAGCTCGCTTCCCAAGCCCGGCTCTCAGCCATCAAAAACAATCGCAATTTGCTGTTGTCTGAGTCATTTGTTTTTTTTTGTGTTTATCCACTCAAATTGAAGGGAATGGTAGTTATAGCTAGAAATGATCGACGCACTGGAGTTGGAAATTTTTGGAAATCAGTCTATGCAATATTATTTGCTAATAATATAGGTGTTTATAAATAGAAACACTTTTGTACTAATAAAAAAATAACAAGATTTATTATATATTATTATTCACATTTAAATTTAAGGTGTATTACATATTTTTCGGTAGTACTGGGTATCACAAAGTTGTAACAATCGAATCGTTTTTCATTCACTTCTTGCCATCTAAGATTCGTCTCCCTCCAATCGCAAAAGTCACGTAAATCGGAGAATTTAGTTAATTATACCCGTTACTCGTAGAGTAAAAGGGTATACTAGATTCGTGCAAAAGTATGTAACAGCTAGAAGGAAGCGTTTCCGACCCCATAAAGTATATATATTCTTGATCAGGGTCACTAGCCGAGTCGATCTAGCCATGTCCGTCTGTCCGTCTGTCCGTCTGTCCGTCTGTCTGTCTGTCTGTCTGTCTGTCTGTCTGTCTGTCCGTCTGTCCGTCTGTATGAACGCTGAGATCTCAGAAACTACAAAAGCTAGAAGGTTGAGATTTCCCACACATATTCTTTGGCTTCCTACGCAGCGCAAGTTTATTTTAGCCGAGCGCCACGCCCCCTCTAACGCCCACTAACGATTTTAAAATGGGTCCTGCGCCCACATCTTTAAAGATTTCCGAGAAGTATAAATGCAATTTTGTTATGTATATTTATACCTATCGAAATGTAGAAGACATTTTTCAAATCGGACCATTCATTAAAAAGTTATACGCAATGAAAAATTATATATCTATCTCCCTCGCACTCCCTTTAGCTGAGTTACGATTATTAGTCGGGACACCAACCCGACACAGCGTTCGCACTCCCTTTAGCTGAGTGACGGGTATTAGATAGTCGGGACAACAACCCGACTATAGCGTTCTCTCTTGTTTTAAAATTCAGAACACGCAATATAATGCGTTACGATGTGTGAATCTCATGATGTTTTTTCTTTTTTTTTTCGTGTATTTTTTTCTGCTGTATAGAACACGATAATTAGTTGGGTCATTAAAGATATGCACGACACGGGCCAGGGTCATCAGGGGTTATGTTGTGGGGGGGCTGTCAATGTTGGTTTGGGGTATCTTCTCGGGAATACAGGGTCAGTCGGCTTTGATGATCGCCCGAATTGCATTCAACTTCGTTGATACATGCTCGTCTTTTACATATTTACATATTTTGTTGTCTATCCGTTTCACACCTTTCAGGTGGGCGGAAGGGGGTGTTTTACAGGCAGCCACACAATGCAGGCACGTTGTTGCTGCCGTTCGGCGGGCTGATAGAAAACGAAAAGCCCCCAAACACAATTGCTGGGCCAGTGCAAATTATTTGCTTTCTCGCTTGTGACGTAAAGCAAATTTAGGTCGGGCGATATGGTAATACATACTATGGTAGGTAATATACATACATATATATACTTTTTTTTTGTCTGGAGTAGAAAAGATAGTGAAATTGAATGGTGACTCTAGCCTCTCGACTGTTAAGTTCATTGAAGACTTTTTCGAACTATTGCTTAAACGACATGTTAGATTAAACAAGTCTTACAATAATTACAAATATTTCAATTTTCAGAAAATTATCTTTGAAATATTCAACATCAAAAACTATATAGCATAATTGAAGGTTATTAACAAATAACCAGTTTGTGATTACGAATTTCGATTTATTCGATACACTGCGAGGAAGCGATAGGTAATCAAGCTGTTCTATCGATACCAGCTGTGATGGTCTGGCCACTCTGCGATGTATAGTGTTGCCACCATGCGAACAGATCCTGCGCACTGGACCAAATCCTCCGGTCGGGGGTTTCAAATCTTCCCCTAACTGCGCTCTCTTCGCTCTCTGTTTGTGTGTGTTTTGCTCATTTACTACGTTTGTGTTATGGTTTTTCCTTTTCGGGGGAGTCCTAAAACCACCCGACCCGCCCCCCAGCTGCGAGTGAAATTGGAGAGGAAAAGCTACATAGTTCGAGTGCGATTACTGCTGCTGCTGGTGTGTGCTGGCTGCCAGTTGTCAGTGGCTCGTGTTGGCCTTGTTGGTTGGATACGAAACCATTGCCGTTTTCTGGCTCAGAGCGGTTTGTTTGCTCGCGAGCGGAATGCAGAAAACCGAGTTTTAAATGAATTACTGATCGGTTAAATGTAATACCCATCGGAGGGCCGCCAAAAAGCAGCAGTCGAACATTATTTTTGAGAAAGTGCACGCGAAATAAGGAGCGGAAAACCGTGGAAAAGGGTGGTGAAAAGCGAGCGTAGGGAGCTGGAAAAATTGCATTGCCTTCTTTCGGGCGCACAAAGAAAATGAGCGCAAAGGTAGGCCAAGAGCGCGCCTCTCTCCTTGTGTGTGTGTTTGTATGAGTGTGTGTGTGAGTGTGCGTGTGTCATATCAAATATACTTTACCCCCAAATCAGTTCCCCTCACTATCCATCCGATTCCAAGTTGTAAACTCATTTGCAATTGAATAAATGCATCACAGCCACGCCTCCTTAAAACCCCCTTGCAGCCAAGAAACCTCCCACCACCTCCCAACCATTCCCTGTGATTTTATGGCCCTTGGTATACACAAATTGCAAGGGACTGCATCATAAATTAAGTAAGGTCCCCTTCAAGTTTGATTCCCACCATATGGTATATGGTCTGTCGTATATGGTATACCATAAAGCCAGGATACTCGTGCGAGAATCGAGAGGGGAGATGGCATAACGGCGGATAATGGCGAATTGAGAGTACTCATGTTACCAGATTTCAACTCAATGCAATTCAAGTGAAATCCCATTGTGGTGATTCGGAAACCAGAGAGTTCTCATCTGTTGCCTTGCAGGAAAAAACGAGAAAGGGTCATAAAAAGCGTTTATTAACTCGGCGAATACCAGGAACCGACTATTGACTTTAAGCCATTATCCTGGTTAATTTTTACACCCTGTGATTTTATGGAAAAAGAATACGAATTTTTATAGCCATCTTACAAGGTTTCAAAACGTTTGAGAAACTGTTGCAGTCAAGATATCCGCTGAACAGTATGCAAAGCTTCTCTTTATCCGATAGGATTTAAAGTATATCCTATAAATATCTCTAGCAAGGGTATCATATATTGTTTACATTACTTTCTCCTTTCTTTACCAATACATTAGCCGGATTGATTGGTGGAAAAAGGAGTGTTCGCTAGGCAATATGCCATTTAATGTCTGTTTACATTCAACAATCTGCAAAATGTCAGTGTGTGTGTGTGCAGTTTGTGTTTACATTTACGTGGAAAAAGAGTCTAGACTATTTAATGCGCAGTACTCCTTTTAGGCTTGATCAATCATTCGATATCTGATAGACGGATCAGAGTTCGTAAATCGATGTCAAAAGCTATGAGATACCAACCAATTAGTAGCCATATTTATGGGCACACAAAAATCGACTGCGATAATGGCTTTCATATGGCGTCTTTCCAACCTCCGAACGTACATATATGTATATTTTGGAATATTCGAAATATTCGGTATACCGTAAATGGGTACTAATATAGAAATGCACATAAACAATAACGAATGTTTTGATATTGCATGGCGTTCATTGAATACATATTCATTGTTGTTTGGCATTGCCTCTCCTTTTCATTAAATATACCCATTTCGGCAATATCTTTGTCCGTATACACATTGCCCGTATAACACATACAGCCCCAGGCCAGACAATTAATTTGTGTACAATGCAAAACTATTCGATATAACGTGCCGGGCGGCCGTAGATATTTTCTGGATTGGGTTTTTCGGGAGGCAGTGGGGATTCCGGGGGCGAAATTGGGGGCTTGCGAGAACTCGCGACGATGCGTCGTTCCTGTTTGGAAGCTCAGTGCCTTCCCAACGGTCATGGGCTGAACACGAAATTTATCGCTGCCGCGTTCTGTTATCGTTCGTACCGCTCATCCCGCTGAAAAGCCGAAAACAAATACCGAACCGCACACCATTCCCATTCTTTTGCTGCACAGGTCGCCAAAAATGTGGATCTCCGACTGTCGTTCGGTAGGTCCGCTTTTCAGCTAGTGATAACTACATATGTGCATTGTCCATCCATCGGAATCTATATCCACCTATATAGGGTGCTTAAGTCCAAACATATGCGATGCTTTAGTTTCATGGCGGCCATTAAATGCTGACAAGTGGTTGAAAATGGCTTGGTGCAATTAACCCTTGGGTGGTTAGGATGTTTTCAGGATTTATTTTCAAAACTTTGTAAAAAGTATTTTTTAAAAATTAAAAAAAAACGTTTATGATGTTTTTTTGAAACTATTAGTTTGATAATGCTGTTGCGGTTTTATTAAAATGCACTTTGCTGATACTATTCTTTTTAGAAGAAATTATATTTCTTTAGAACCTAATAAAATGCGTTTCACATAATTTATTATACCATCCGAAGGGAATCGACGATTTCTATTTAGGCTATTTTAAAAAGAGATTTTGTATTATTTGAATAATTTTGTTTGACTCTTAAGATTATATGTAATTGATAACTATTTCGTATGTAGATTTCTTCGAGCACTTTAAGAAAAATATATATTTCTTTTAAACAGCTGAACAAAGCGCAAAATTCAGGATGATCTGTGAGCGTTGCTGCTGATGACACAAGGGTTAAGTGAAGCACTAAACTTGTGAATACATAGAGCCCCAATGAAAATGGGGAGCCGGCGGGGATGTGAGAGAAAAAGCAGAAAAAATAAAGCACAAGGCGCTGAGTGAGCGCTAAAGAACTCACGATATCTACACAATCCGCACGGGAAAAAAGCTTTGCCAGCGCCACTTTGTGTACACACTATATGTTCAAAGAAACACTGTGGCCGCTTATCAGATGCCCTACGGCAAACACGTGATATAAAAAAGCAACACAAAAGAGTAGGGCTCCCTGTTTTGGTTTCTTTTATTCAAGATTAGATACTTAGATAATCGCTAGTAAATAGATACATTGAATTACCATATACCATTCAAATCTTATTCCAGATGACGCGCTACAAGCAAACCGAATTCACGGAAGACGATTCGAGTTCAATCGGCGGCATTCAATTGAACGAGGCGACCGGCCACACTGGCATGCAGATACGCTACCACACAGCGCGGGTGAGTAAAAGACTTTTTAGGGGGATCCTATATAATATGCTTCCACAGAGAGAAAAAAACATTATTAAATTAAGAACCTTTTTCTCGATTTGTAATAATTAAGACAAAATGTTCTTAAGTCGAGCACAGTTTTTAATATTTTTTGTGATTTTACAACCACTAACCAATTGATTTTTTTCTTGTTTTATCTTATAGATTAACTTTTACTAATTTAATTACTTTCAAAAGTAAAACAAAAAAAATTAAAAAAAATTTATTTAAGTTTAAAGCTTTGAATATTTTGTACACTTGCAAAAGTAATAAATACGAAAAACAAAAGTTATCATCTCCTTGAATTAATCTTCTTAAACATCAAGAGATTTTGTTCCTTTTTCCTCGGTGTATAAATTCTAACACCCCACATTCAAATAAGCCCCGCACTTGGCTAGTTAACCAGATAGGCACTAAGCTCCATCTTCATCTCTGTGGCAATGACCCAAAAACGAGAGGCAAATGGGGCCAACGTGGGCGTTTTTCTCATTTGCTTGAAGGTTACCATTTGACAGTGAAAAGTCTGCTTTTATATGTGGGTGTACGCTGGTGTGAGCTTTTCACTCTGCGATATTTGCACCCTACAAAATGATAGGGTAACCAAGACTTTGTGGAGCGGTTTGTAAAGAGCGATAGTATGTGCTTAAATGTACGTTCTCTTTTATTGAAATTAAGATTAGATCCTTTATTAGTCAGATTCATAATTTGTGTGTCTATAAGATATGAACCATTCACAAAATCATTTCAATTTTGCATGATAACTATTTAGTAATTGCCGTTGAGCGTATTTAATAGTCGATGTAGCTTCACAAAATACATTTATGCAGCGAATTCCCTGCGAATTCTTTTCATCTGCGGCGGATTGTGGAAAAATTAAGCCTCAAGTGACTTATGTCTGCCAGATTGATCTGATGTAGACACAGATACCTATATGTACACAAGTTTGAACTCATTTGAACCGCCGCCGTCTTGTTTTCAGATTGTTTACAAAACAATCAAATTTAAGTGCGGGAAGGGAGCTTTTTCTTTTGTGCCGCCATTGGAGGCCAGAATGATTGGTTGATAATGGATGGTTTTCGTCACACAGGCCACTTGGAATTGGCGCTCGAGGAACAAGACGGAGAAATGGCTGCTCATCACCACCTTTGTGATGGCCATCACGATCTTCACTCTACTGATCGTCCTTTTCACCGATGGAGGCGGCAGCGGAGATGCGACCAAGCACGTCCTTCATGTTCAGCCGCACCAGAAAGGTACGGAGTAAGGTCACTTTTTAATCTACAAACCCTTTGCTTAATTATCCCTTCTTGGTTACAGAGTGTCCTTCGGGAAATGAGCTTCCCTGCTTGAATAAGCACTGCATCTTTGCTTCCAGCGAGATCCTCAAGTCCATCGATGTGACCGTGGATCCCTGCGATGATTTTTACGGATATTCCTGGTGAGTTCTTTGAAAAATCAGAAAAGTTTTTCACAAGGTTGCTGTTTTCTCAATTTTTCAAGAAGAATTATCCCTGAAATCAAGGCGAAAGTACTCTTAATTTTGTTTTTCAAGACGAATTTTGAGAATTTGCGATTAAACAGTTTTCACTTAAACTAAAAACCCCATCTCTCCTTCACAGTAACCAGTGGATCAAAAACAACCCCATTCCCGAGGGCAAGTCCACGTGGGGCACTTTCGGAAAGCTGGAGCAGATGAACCAGCTAGTCATCCGCAACGTGCTGGAGAAGCCGGCGAATAGTTTCAAGTCGGACGCGGAGCGAAAGGCCAAGGTCTACTATGAGTCCTGCCTGGACGCGGATGAGCACATGGAGAAGCTAGGGGCCAAGCCCATGAATGATCTCCTGCTGCAAATCGGCGGATGGAATGTGACCAAGAGCGGCTACAACGTGGCCAACTGGACGATGGGACGCACCCTCAAGATTCTGCACAACAGGTGATTGGGATTATTACCATTATTTTTGTACCCTTTTCACATTTTTGAATTTTTTTCCTCTACAGATATAACTTTAACTGCCTGTTTGGCTGGGCGATTGGGGAGGACGACAAGAACTCCTCGCGCCACGTCATCCAGATCGATCAGGGCGGCCTGACGTTGCCCACCGCCGATTACTACAACAACAAAACGGACAATCATCGCAAGGTACTCAACGAGTACATCGAGTACATGACCAAGGTGTGCGTCCTGCTCGGCGCCAACGAATCGGATGCCCGGGCCCAGATGATCGGCGTCATCAACTTCGAGAAGAAGCTGGCCAACATAACCATCCCGCTGGAGGATCGTCGCAACGAGGAGGCCATGTACCATCCCATGCAGCTGCGCCAGCTGGCCAAACTGGCTCCGTTCCTCAACTGGACGGATCACTTCGATAATGCCATGCAGATGGTGGGTCGCCGCGTCACCGACGACGAGGTGGTAGTCGTCTACGCACCCGACTTCCTCAAGAACCTCTCGGACATCATCCTCAAGATGGAGCAGAGCGAAGAGGGAAAAATGTGAGTTTACTTGGGGGAAACTGAAAAAAACAGAGTCCTAACTCAGACTTATATTTGTAAATCGAAGTACAACAATTCTTGACTTGGGCACCATATTAAACAAGATAGAATGCGTCGACTATCTAATACCTATTAATAAGCTAAAGGAGTGCGAGGGAGATGGAGATAAGCAAGCAGCATAGCGACTGCTAGAATGCGCGCCCTCTAGCGTCTGTTTCATTACTTGCTTATAACTTGCTTATAACTTACTTATAACTTGCTTATAACTTGCTTATAACTTGCTTATAACTTGCCTTTAACTTGCCTTTAACTTGCTTATAACTTGCTTATAACTTGCTTATAACTTGCTTATAACTTGCTTGTAACTTGCTTATAACTCGCTTATAACTTGCTTATAACTAGCTAATAACTTGCTTATAACTTGCCTATAACTTTTTAACGGATGGTCTGATTTTAATAATGTCCTATGGGTATTGATAAACAAAAAACAATCGCAATTACACTTTTAGAAAATCATGAAACATGTTTGACACCTTCTAGCGATTGTTATAGTTTCAGATATCTCAGCGTTCATACACATATACGTACATGGGTAGCTATTACTTGAAGAACAATATGTTCTTATATTAACATTTGTTTACTGGATTAAGATATTAATTATGTTTCCCATTTCCCTGAGTGTATAATATCAGTGATAACCGTGTTTAACCCTCATTTTCTGATCCTTGCAGCACCCTGAACAACTATCTCGTCTGGCAGGCGGTTCGCACCCTGACCAGTTGCCTGTCGAAACCCTTCCGGGATGCCTACAAGGGCGTGAGGAAGGCCCTCATGGGCTCGGATGGCGGCGAGGAGATCTGGCGGTACTGCGTCTCGGATACGAACAATGTGGTTGGCTTCGCCGTGGGCGCGATCTTTGTGCGCCAGGCCTTCCATGGGGAATCGAAGCCGGCGGCCGAGCAGATGATCGGCGAGATTCGCGAGGCCTTCAAGACGAACCTGCAGAACCTGACCTGGGTGGACAAGCAGACGCGCGAGAAGGCCATCGAGAAGGCCAACGAAATCTCGGACATGATCGGTTTCCCCGACTACATCCTGGATCCCGTCGAGCTGGACAAGAAGTACGCGGAGCTGAATATCACAGCGAATGCCTATTTCGAGAACAACATCCAGGTGGCCATTTACAATCTGAAGAGCAACCTGAAGCGGCTCGACCAGCCGGTGAACAAGACCAACTGGGGCATGACCCCGCAGACGGTGAATGCCTACTACACGCCCACCAAGAACCAAATCGTCTTCCCCGCCGGCATCCTGCAAACGCCCTTCTTCGACATCAACAACCCCAAGAGCCTGAACTTCGGCGCCATGGGCGTGGTCATGGGTCACGAGCTGACCCACGCCTTCGACGATCAGGGGCGCGAGTACGATAAGTTCGGCAACATCAATCGCTGGTGGGACTCCAAGAGCATCGAGCGGTTCAACGAGAAGTCCGAGTGCATCGCCCGCCAGTACAGTGGGTACAAGATGAACGGACGCAACCTCAACGGCAAGCAGACGCTGGGTGAGTAAAGTGGATTTCAGGGTTTGGGGTTGGTGGGTAGATACCCTTTAGTACAAACCTATTTAACTCATTATAACATAAGTTGGTTATAAAGTAGTTAATTTCCCAATTGTTGAATTTTGATTTAATTGTTTTTTCCTTTTCAAAACAATACTTAACCTCACCCAAAAACGTAGATCAATTTTACATTATTTAAGATCAATTTTAATTTGATATGAGGGCAAGTAAATTTTACCTGGTCAAAAAGAGTATTTCATGTAAAAACGATATGGGTTTTGCATGACCTGAAATTTACATGGCCATATCGATTTTACGGGAACATGCTTTTTTTGTGTGCTCTCAATTATAAATGTATAAACAATGTGATTAATTTAAAAGCCATGATACTAGAAAATTGAACTTTCGCATTAAGTTCTTTAATCCTTACTCGTAAATTAAAAGGGTACATTGTATTCGTGAGAAAGTATAAAACTGGTTGAAGGATAATGTGTATATATTCTTGATCTATCTTGTTTTTTCATTAAAATTCCGATATAACCCTTTCCTATTTCTTTATTTTATTTAATCCAATTAGGCGAAAACATAGCTGACAATGGCGGACTAAAGGCGGCCTACCACGCCTACCAGCGAACCAAGAGCGACCGGGATGTGGATGTCCTGAAGCTGCCCGGCCTGAATCTCACTCACTCGCAGCTATTCTTTGTGTCCTTTGCCCAGGTGAGTATTGTACTTGTAGTAGTTGCACTGCAAAGTTGGTTAATAAGAATCCTACATCAAATGTGAAATGAAACTGATAAATTTTTTTACCCAACCAGGTCTGGTGTTCCAGCACCACTGATGAAACGAACCTGCTGCAGATGGAGAAGGATCCACATTCGCCGTCGCAGTTCCGGGTGATCGGCACATTGTCGAACATGAAGGAGTTCGCCGAGGTCTTCCAGTGCAAACCCGGGAAGCGAATGAACCCCACCGAAAAGTGCGAGGTGTGGTAAAGGGAGCAGCTTATTCCCGATCTCAGAACGAGCCAAAGATATATAGATAAAGATCAAGCCAAAGCCAAACAACCAAATGTGTATGATGTGCGGATGGTGGTTCGCCGACTGGGAGATACAGGCTCAAAGTTGTGATCCTGTATCCCGGACATTATTGTTTCACTTGTGCCCTTCGATTTGTTTTTATTTCCCCATTTGTATATTTTTTTGGTTTGTTTGTCGAAAGACCGTCAGTCATTGTGCCTATGAAAATGATAGAAACTGACGATAAATTCACGTTCGTGCTCCAAGGGGTCTGGAGTGTAGGATCCTGGAGCAGGATAAAGGGGACCTTTAACTACATTTGAATGTGAACGCACGAGCTACCAACTATATGGGGTGTGTGTGTGTGCGCGATATGGAGTAAAAGATATTTATATATATAGATATGATAACGATAAACGATAACTGTAACTTAGCTATTTGTAGAACTATCAATGTATATTGTATTATAATGATACAAAGTTCGCAGCTCTGTGCTCCGCTCTTTTTTATATGTCCCCATAAAGAGATACTTTCTAGAGAGTTCTAGGGAGAATTCTCAACCCTTTTTCTCCAAATACGTTAACGTCGAAGTTCCTGGCTAAAGGATAGGAATTAAATGATGGACGGACTAGTGGGTGTGAAAGTGAAGGAGATGGCGATATCGATATCGAGTGAGAGGCGAACAGTTTTTAAGCGTTTGGGTTGCCAAAGTGATTAGGTTTAGTATTTATATAAGTTGAGAACTAAAAATGATTTATTAAAATTATTTTTGAAATAAATATGTTTTCACTTACCAGTTTCCTTAGTAAGCTTATTGTTGATTTATCTCTAATTTATTTTCTTATGAGGCAGACAGGCAGAGAAATAGCCAGAGGCAGGAATGGGAAAGAAATAACTCTAATAAACACCAATTAATTAATAATTGCTCAAATATTGAGATATATAGCCAAACAACTTGGACTCGTTTTCTTTTGTACGAAAGAAACACATATCAGACTAAGATGATGTGAACGAAAGCCAACACCAACCACGAATATCTATGGAATTTAACTAGGCACCAAATCGAAATCAATCGAATCCACGATCTAGCATTAAGATTTAAAAACACTCCCAAGCCGAATCAGTCAGAGCACAAATCTCCAAACTATGCAGACAATACGGCCAACAGGTTATTCGGTTATTCACCAACTCGTCTCCCAAGGGCGTTTTAATTTCCTTTCGGTTGTTATCCATCTGTTATATTTAGAAATAGACTTACGTACATACGAAGAATGCATTTATCTTTCTGTTTTTTTTGTACCTTCTTGAATCACACTGTATTCTAAACAATGGGAATAACGGTTTTGTTGTTGTATTTTACATGCATTTATTATTTATCCCAATCATTTCGTAGGGCGGGCAAAGGGGGGTGTGGGCTAGGGGGTATACTATCAAAACCCCCCTGTATCCATGGCGATATCAAGCAGATGATTTTTGTATTCTATATATGTACTATATGATAGATGAAGAAATGATAACTATAATACAAATATTAAAATATTATTATTATACAAACTACATATACATTAACTGAATGTTTAAATGCAAATTATTTTTATTGTCTATTAATAATGTGTATATGTATGTGCATGTATACAATTGCAAAAACAAAACAATAAAGAACGCTATAGTCGATCATCCCGACTATGGGATACCCACTAACCACCGCATTGTTATTTAATTTGTTGGAAGGCATAATAAAATGTGCCTATTTTTACCATTTTTAATTAATGATATCTCTGATATTCATGATTTTAGGGTACCGATAGGAAAACGCTAGAGTTGTCGAAAAATTACTAAATAGCTCAGGGGGTTAGCTACGAACAAAAGGGAAAGTGCGCATTGTTCTTAATGCAAAATCATGGAAATTAAGGAATCTGAGGCTGTGGAAGTTCTAAAGAAGTTACCCATGGCTTAATAAATAATTTCTTAATAATTGACTCGTTTTTTTTTCTAAGTGTCTTGAAATTTAATACATAAATACTTTTTTCCCTATGTTGCCCTGATTTAAATATGATCATAAATATGTAAAAGTTGTTCTCATTTAATACCCAAATTTACGAAGAAAGTGCTGAGCAAGTTGATGATAATTGGATTAGGTTAAAAATTTGTTTAGGCCCCTTGAAGAAATTTCACGGTGCTTCACATTAAACTCTTTTTATTGCGAAGGAAAATTACACAAATATTTAGCGCCGACTCCCGCGACTCTTAAAGTGTTCGAACTTTGACTTTATGACAAAGTTCTAATAAACTTTTTGGTGTTGTTGCGCACTCAAACACACACACACACGAAGAGACAACCCACACACACGCACTGACACCCGTATGTGGATATACAGAAATGCCAGCAAATTGCTTACATAATAAATAATAATAATAGCGTGCGATTTTTAGCGCAATTTAAATTTATTTATGGCACTTGTTTGTTCGCATGTCATGCGCAAGTTTTAGCCAGACATTTTTGCGCCCACAGAGAATCGACAATACCACACACACACACTTGCTCATTCAGGTGGGCCAGTGCACAGAAAAAAATTCGATATGAAATAGAATCATTTATACCTCATTTCATATTAATAAAAAGCCGATATGATAAATGTCAAATTTACGATTCAAACATATAAACTGATATTGTATCATAGAAGTTATAAAAATAATATTACAAAATACTAAATTTATTATTTTTTGAACAAATATTATAAAATAAGATAAACATAATCTTTATTTATATCATTTTGAAATTTTTGATCTTTAAAAAATATTAAATTGACCTGCACATATCCTTCCCAACTTTTGTCAATTTTTTTCTGAGTGTTGCGGTGTTTTGGTGGGTTGATAGGTTGGTGGATTGGTTGGTTGGTTGGTTGTGCCAAAGGTGGGGCAGAGTTTGCCAGAGTCCTTCGTCGGATTTGCCTATTTTTATCATAGCGGCTTATCCCGGTTGCCTGGCAACTGGCAACTGGGAACCAGGCTTTGCGCAAGAGAATTCAAGCTGCTTAGTGGGAGCGATGTCGACTCATAAATCCTGCCTGTGGCATTGCCGCAGCCATGGAACGAATGTCCTCGACCTGCCGTCTTATCGCATTCACCCAATCGAACCCAACCCCCCACCTCGGGCAAGGACTCGGGGTCAGATGGAGATGGGCTGCTTAAATGGCAATTAGGCAGCCGCACTTACTGACAGCTTCCTTTAGCCGTTGATGATGCCGTTGTTGTTGCTGTTGTGTTCGCCACCGAATGATGTCATCAGGGTGTCTGGGACTAATTAATGCAATCCAGGTCAGAATAAAACCAATGCATGTTCGCAGGTCCCAAAAAGTTTGGGCTTCCAAGTGCTGAAATTAATCACCTTCTGGCTAGAACCCTTATCCAGTGTTTTTATTTTTTTGCCAGTGTCTCTCGTTGAGTTTACGGCCAAGGTTTTATCTGAATTTTATTTTTTTTAATACTAGAATTAATTGGTAAAATTATATTTGCTTGAATCTGATCCACCATGTCTTTATTTATCTTAAATTCGAATCCTTATTTTCCACCCTAAAATGTCCGTTTTTTTGCCGAAGCAAAGGAAATAATAGCACAAAATTTGGAATGTCACACCTTGTTGAACTCGTAGCTTAATTCTGAATCGATTTGCGTTCAAGTCTGTGCATTTTAATTTTTTGCCCTTTTTTGAAAAATATTATGATGGTTATCAAAAATGCGAAAATTGGTGAAAAAATTATTTTTTTTCCAAAAATGATGGGTATGGTTAGTTTAGGTTGTTAGCTGTTCAAAACAGTCGGTCGCTTAGCTGTCGTCATTGATTTGTCCAAATTACGATTGAAAAACCAAAAAAAAAAAACCTTCATTTTGGTCTAAAGTTTATAGTCCATATTTTCACCCGTAAAATATCCTTATTTTCCGCCCAAAAATATGCAAAGGAAATAATTGGCTAAAAACCTTACCCGCTTACCTTTTCAAACAGCTTTTCCCTATGTGTATACTTTATTGGGTCCCTAAGGGTTTGCCTGTAATACCTTACAAATCACTGTAATTGAAAAATGGATAATTGACAAATTCATAATTATTTAAAAACGTTAGAATTCCAATACAGACCATTCGTCTTGCGGTGATTGTGTAATTTTCTTCACTGGAGAATGGGAATATTTCGAACTCTGAAGCATAAGGCTTAAATTGTTTTCAAAAGTGCGCATTCCTTGGCGATTAACATGATTAATGGGGCAATGAAAACAAAACAATTTGAAGACTCGGCCAAGTAACAAGTGCTTAGCAATGAGTTGAGTGTAATTGCAATTAATATTATTATTATTATTGTTGTTGTTATTGTTTATTATGCAGGCAAGTTATGGCTGTGTGTGTGTGAGTTGGTGTTGTGGGAGGCTGACTGCGTAAATATGCATATGTTTTGGCCTGGACATGTCCATAAAGCCCCCTTCTGCACTCACTCAGGCATTCATTTGCTCGTTTGTTTATTTATGTTAATTTAAATCAACATGCAAAAATTAGCACATGACACAAAGAACAGGTGGATGTGGAAGCGGGACCAAATGATGAGAGTACGAGGATGAGAATGGGTATGAGTATGAGATGAGTGGGCGTAGGCGGTGTGGAGATAAGTTTTGTGAATTTGCGGCGTGGCTCGAAAACATTTAATTTATTTAATTACTTGCCCCTTAATTTGCATATTTAAATGAATTGCCGCAAAGCCAAGGCTAAGTGTTTGGCAGTGGGCGGAATTCGGGCTAATAACTAGATGACACGCCGTCGGAAGGGCGCAGTCGCCAGGATGATATAATGTATGTATGTCGCCCTCGAGGCCTGACTTTTGGCCTGAAACCAGGTCTACTGTACTGTCTATTGTAGGGTACACCTACAATAAAATGGGGTGGGAAGCATTTTCAGAAGTTCCTTTAGCCAAATACAAAATCTCGGTTAAGTTTTACCATTAGAACCGGAAAAAAACCCATGGCGTCTTATAATTATTAAACAATCGCAAATAGCCGAAAAGT